GGTGCTCTTAACCTCTGAGCCATCTCTCCAGCCCCCAGGGAGATGTTTTTATAAACACAAAGAGAAAGACTAAAGAGTTTTCTAAGTGCCAAAGGCAATGCATAATCTAAATAAGAATGCAAAATTTCTGGGAACCATAGCCCCAAGGAGGAGCTTGAACCCATCACAGACTTCCTAAAGGTGTCTATTAGGGCTTTGTGAATAAGTCATGTAGCAAGGGACATGTAGCAAGACTGGGACAAAAATGTGTCTCTGGCATTCAGGCACAAAGTCTCTCCCATTTCCATGAAGGAACAATACTTCATACACATGAGGGAATATTTAGCTACCACATGAAGGCTTATTGCTGCTGAGAAAAAACATTGTAAAGTTCTGTAACCCATCACGTGGACAGGACACAGTACAGGAGCAAGTCATCAGAGAGCCTTTACTGCTGATGAGAAACAAGATCACTTACAAGGCTTCGTCTCTAAGACTGACCCACCCAGGGTTGTAAGGTGACAGTGACTAGCAGACCCACTCAGCACTGGGGCTGAGTCAGTACATATCCTGTACCAACTACTGGAAGTCAGTGCCTGGGTGTGCCAGTGGGGAAAGAGTCTCTGGAGGAGGGAAAGCAAGGCAGACAGAATAGCACCAAATGTGTGAGACAGAATCAAAATGAGCCATTTTATCTCAAGACTTTAAAATTTCATGTAACTAATATTGAAGTTACAGTGTGATGGTTCAAAGATGGGTGGGTATTGAACACTCAAGACAACCATTAGCATTTCAACCTTCGATACTTGTCTTTCTGCATCTGCCTTATTTCACCTTATATGTTGTTCTCTGGTTCCTTTTTTTTTTTTTTTGCAAAGCACATGATTTTATTCTCATGTATGAAGAACACTCCATATATATGATGTGTATATATCCCACATTTTCATTTTCCATTCTTGTGGGGTCAGTCCAAGTAAACAAGTGAGCAATGGTTGAAGGGGTGACTACTCTCCTTCTGGGGAGTCCAGGGTAGTTCAGGCTGCCTGCCCTGGAAACATGTGAAAGATTCTGGAAGGCAGGAGAATTCTAGAATGACATCATTTATACTGCTACCATTGCTAGCCAATGAGATTAAATGTTAGTGGTTAATCTTTAACCATGCTGTGGGTATAAAAGGGAAAGTGAGGGGCATTCCAACCAACTTTTGTAACTGAATGGCTATGACCCAGCATCCTAGTAGGATGGTGTTCGAAGGATTCTGGAAGGAGAAACACAACCTGGTCATACGTTATAAACCTGCTGCCACCAGCAAGGCCGACATTGCCAAGGCTATTGCCCATGCTGACCCCTCTGTGGCCATGTCACCTGGGCCAGCAAGGACTTTCCCTCCAATAGTTGAGTGGACAAGATGACTCTTTGGCAGGAAGGAGGAAAAATTACATCCCAGGTGGTGGAGTTGTCCAAGGCCATCCTGGGAGGATCCAAGGTCCACGAGGACAGAAGTGTAAATCCTCCCAGCTGTTGACCTCATGCACATAGACATGTGTATGGTAAGCATGGGAACAACACCACTTTTGAACACCACCAGCCACTGAAGGACAAAATGATCAGCTTTCTGCTCATGTGCATACTGGGCCCAGATTTGATATGCTTTGAGGGACATGTCTAACCCCCATTACCAAGCATAAAAGGTTAGGGACAAGCACACACCTTGGTTCTTGTCCACTCCTCATTCTGTGACTCCTATCAAACTATTATCAAGATACAATTGCCATCTTGATATTCCTACAACTGTAGATTCTTTCACAGAAATTGATTTGACTATGAATATCTGAACCAGGGTATGGTGACATATTGTGTCCCCCAATATATTGTGCACCCTAATAAACTTATCTGGAGATCAGAAAACAGAGCCAGCCACTAAATTAGACATAGATGCCAGGCAGTGGTGGCACACACCTTTAATCCTATCACTTGGGAGGCAGAGATCTATCTGGATCTCTATGAGTTCAAGGTCACCCTGGGAACAGAGCCAGGGGTGGTGGCCTTTAATCCCAGCACTTGAGATCTCATGTCTTTGCTTGGGAAGGAGACATGCCTTTAATTC